ATTGGCCCTGGTGATGGGGCTACTGGCCTCATTGGGTTAGGGTTTCTAATGACAAATACCTGTTTGACAAGACTATTGGCAAGTCAGGTTCAGGTTTTGGTAAGACTTGTTTATCCTTTTTCCCCCCCTGATTTTTGGAGGAGGTTCCAGATGAACTGGGTTTCTTAGTTGCCATGAGGTTCCTGCAAAAATTCACGGGTTAGGAAATCAGGGATATAATTATTTTCGCCTTTAATATATTCTATATCAAAATCGAAAATACTTAAAATAGATTGCCATCTTGCAAAAATTTGCTTAGTAGCAATATTTTTAACATCCTTTGTTAAAACATCCTTCGCGGATTTACAATCAACCCGTATCAGGAATTTCTGATTTAATATATCATCCTGGAATTTAGAGATACACAGGACAATAGATAAAATCTCTTTTTTAATAGTAGAGTAATTGGCTTGGGTCTTATTCCAAATTCCAGAATGGAACCAAACAATTTGTTCAGGAGAATTAAGAGATATTCTCTGAAGGAGGATACCGCCGTAGCCAAGTTCGGAGGCATCAGTCTGAATGATCTTGAAGGAGTCAACAGACGGAATTCCAAGACAGGGAAGAGTTTTAATGAACTTCTTGACCTGTTGAACAATAGAAGTATGGACAGGGGTCCAAGGAGGAGGATTTCTTTTGAGCCTGTCATACAGAGGTTTGATGGTTTTCCTAAGATCCTGATAGAAGTCAGAAACATAATTTAGGGAACCTTTGAAGCTGATTTTTATCTAATATTTCATCAGGGAACTTATCTGCAAATTGGATAGCTCTACTGATGGGAACTATGGTAGACTCCTGGATGTTGTATCCTAAAAACCTTACTGAGGTTTGGAATAGCTTAATTTTAGGAGCTGAAATGACTAAACCATTTTGCCTTACAAGTTCAAAGAAAGCATACAGGTGCTTCCAATGTTCTCTATTAACCTGAAGAAGATGAGAATATCATCTATATAGACAATAGAAAAATGACTTATACATTAAATATTTCATTCATTATGTTCTGGAATTCGCTTGGAGCATTTTTGAGTCCAAAAGCCATAACATTCCATTCATAATGCCCAAAAGGGGTGGTGAATGCAGTCTTATACCTATCCTCAGGGTGGATCTGTATTTGCCAATACCCACTTTTGAGATCAAATTTTGAAAAGATAACAGACTTACTGAGTCTTTTTATCAAATCTTGCTTATTAGGTATAGGGTACCTAATCCATTCTAAAACTTTGTTTAAGGGTTTATAATTGATAACAAGCCTGGGCACTCCTCTTTCTAATTCTGCATTTTTAACGACATAGAAAGCAGGGCAAGACCAGGGCGACTTACTTTTTCGAATGATACCATTTTTTAATAACTCAGAAATCTCTTTTTTACAGATTTTCATAGTTTCATGGTTCATTTGGATTGGTCTGGATTTAGTTAGGATATTGTCCTCACTAAAACCTTTGACATATGGAAGTCTAACAACATGTTTACGCCTATGCCAGAATGCTGTAGGAAAGGATGAACAGACTTCCGTTTCTAATTTTCCTCTAAACTTTTCAATCTTTTGTTGTAAGATTGGGTTGGTAAGGTGATTTTTAATTCTGAGGTGGTTAATCTCTTTCTTAAGAAATTCCACTTGTTTAATTTTATTATGAATAACATTAAGGGACTTAGAGACTGAAATGTCTTTTAGTTGCCTTAATTGTTTTCTTTTTGGTTTGGTGATGAAAGGAAATACAACCTTTGTTCCAAAGGGCTTGGTTGTTAGTCCATCCGTATCTGTACTAAAAGGGTACAATAGATATACGAATGGTAAACCAAGGATGACTGCATCTGTCATGTCTTTAACCAAAATAAATGATGTCTCAAAACAAACATCTTGTTGGCAGACATGCACCTTAAGAAGTTTGTATTTAACATTCATTTTACTACCATTGGCAGAACTAATTCTTTCCATTGTTTTTTCATAAAACATGGTTGGAACCAGTCCTTCTTGGATACAGTTAACATCTGCACCTGTATCAATAAGTGCAATAATGTTAAGCTCAAAGTTATTATTGATGACTATTTTTACTTCAACATGCCATTTTTGGACAGTTAAAGAATTAATTAGGCTAATTCTTTTATCATCATTAGTGCTTACTTCATGGAATGAAGGCAAGTTCGTTACACCAGAAGTTTCCGTCTGAAAGGAGGAGGTTACTGGTATCCCCTGTGTAAAGCATTGATGATCAAAAGGATTAGTAAAATCTTCAGTCTGATCTTCTGGATCAGAATCCTGAGTTTTTTCAGATTGTTTTTCTGTTTGTAAAAGACTTAAAGCTTCTGCAAATTTTGTGTCTTGAGCTTTTAATTCTTTTATTTCTATTTTGAGTTTATTAACTTCACTTTGGAGATCTTGTAAGGTAATTTCTTTTTTCTTTTCCTTACTGAATCTTTCCATAGTTTTGTTAAGACTTACAATTTGTTTTTCAGGAACAGGTTGTTTATTGTCCTTTTTAAACAAATTCCTAAGTTGTTTAACATACTTGTCTTTGAGATCTGGATCTTCTATCTTGGAGATTAGATCTATAAGCATGTGTTCTTCATTTTGTTTAGTGATGACCCGAACTTGTTTATGACAAGCACATCCTAATTGGACATGAGGGTGATCAGATGCGGAATGATAGTCAGAAGAATCTGATGGCTCTTCTGGACTTTCTGATTCTGCAGAACTGTCTAAGTTATTTATTCGAAAGATTTCCAGGATTTTATCCTCATCTTCTTGAGATAAATTTAATCTTTTAACCTGTTTTTTAATTGGACAATTAGGACTAATATGGCCTGGTTTGCCACAATTAAAACATTTAATATTTTCTTGTGCTTTTCCTTTTCCCTTTGCTGATTTCTTATAAGATTTAGGCCGATAATGCTTTTTGGACTTATTAGAAATCTCAGTTTTAGGTTTAGAAATAGACTTCTTGTGTTTTTGATAAAACCTATTTTTTGAATAAGTGTTGTGTTTTTTAGGTTTTTTGCGAGGTTTAGATTGGAAAGGAGCTACTGGCTGCAATCCATACTGTTCACAAAAATTACCTAATTCATATTTGACTTTTTGCTTCTCATTTGTTAATTGCTTATTAATCCTCAGATCAATTCACCATTTTAATCCTACATTTTGGATGGTGCTAATGAGTTCTTCATAAGCAAGATTATCATATTCAATAATTCCAGTGTCTTTGCTAAGAGCTTCTCTTACCTTATGGGCAAAAAGATTGGGTAGTCCATTAACAAATTTTTCTTTCCAGAATGCTTTCTGGCAATCTGGTCGAACCATGACACGGGAAACAAAAACATCCTTATACCACCTAAAGTCACTTAGTGTGGGACATCTTAGGTTGGTAAGTTGGTCGTGGATCCTAGCAGTAATGCTACTAGGTGTTCCTACAAAGTGTTTAATGATGGTGAATATAAGAGTATTACATCCATCAGGTTTAGCCAATCCAATCCTTTCATCAAAAATTGGATTACCTTCATCATCTCTAAGGACAGCATAAATAATACTTTCCTTTTGGTCTGAGATAAGATAATTATCCCACCAATCTCGTAAAACACCTGTGAATCCTGAGGTGTATATATATATATATATATATATATATATATATATATATATATATATATATATATATATATATATATATATAGTAAAAAAAAACCCTAATCTACCGAGTCCCAAGAGCGTCTGCGCCTCACACCTCACTCGGTCACTCCACTGTTCCTCCTTCATCGTTCCAGACTTCACACCCAAGCTCTCTCTCTCTTTCTCTCTCTCTCTGTGGTGTGGTCTGGCTTGGAAGGTGTGATCGCAAACCTTCATCTACAGTAACAGATCGATTACATGATTTGTGGTGAAGTACCATAATAGAGCAATTATGATTTTAATGTATTTCATATGGTTTAAAGTTTAAACTTAAATTAATTGTTATTGTATTTGTGTAACAATTATGGTGGATTGATGTTCATACTTTCTTGTGTTTTATTATAATTCTTGTTGTAGTTATTTTAGATTTTAGTGTTAATTGATTTATTGTGTTGTTAAATTGATGCTTGTTATTTAATTAAATTGTTAAAATGACCCAAAAATTAATTGTTACAAAAATATTTACCCGACTTCCTACCCGATTAATCGGGTAAGAATACCACAACTGTCGGGTAGGGTATGCCAATAAAAAATTCTTCCTCAAAGTATCAGTTAGGAAGATGGAATAGTACATTTCCTACCTCCTAGGGTAGGGTGAACACCCCTAGAGATAGGAGTGTAAAGTCTTACGATATGAGGCTTCTTTGTGGGCAGGAAAAGAAATTCATAATTAATTGTAGACTGTTAGATCAAAATTTTTAAGGTGATCTGAACCATCTTTTACGTTGGGATTACGTTATCCGTTAGATGTGTTTATGTTTTTTCTCAAAACGATCTGGACCACTCTTTGTCTTTTAGATTTAAACTTCATTCTACTTTATTATATATATATATATAAACTAAAAACCTTAATTCTCTAACCATATGGTTTAAACTTAAAATAATTATTATTGCATTTGCGCTATTATGATGACTAAACAACTTAAAACTTGATTGAAAGTTTGGCATGCTTCCAATAGTTTAGTTTAAAAGAAAAGCTATACACAAAATAACATCCCGCACCAGTGGTCTAGTGGTAGAATAGTACCCTGCCACGGTACAGACCCGGGTTCGATTCCCGGCTGGTGCAATCTTATTTTGCCTCCTCGCTAGCAGTTAAACGGAATATCACTACACCTATCCAAGTTTATCTAATTTTAGTTTTCCAAAGAAACAGTAACCAAACACCCCACAAAATTCACCCTAAACCATAACTTTCAACCCTTTTCGCCTCCTTAAAACCCTTCTTCCTTTTCACTTCCGTCTTTCAGCAAAACCCTAATTTTTCTTTTCTGAAAAAGGTGGTTCTCAACTGTAGGCCAACATGGTAATCTCTCCTTCTTTCCAATGGCTAAAGTTTTGATTTTTATTGTTTTCTTTACTCTTTTGTTTATGTGCAATATGTATTTTTTAATACAGACTGCAGAAGCTGTGAACCCAAAAGCATACCCATTGGCCGATTCTCAACTCACCATAACCATACTGGACCTTGTTCAACAAGCTGCCAACTACAAACAGCTCAAGAAGGGCGCTAATGAAGGTTATTATTTTTATTTTTATTTTTATTAAAAATATATTGTTTTTAGTGTATGATTGGTTGATCTTGTTCTGATTGTGATTTTTCCTGATTTAAAAAATGGGTATTTGATTTTTTTTTAGCCACTAAGACATTGAACAGAGGAATTTCGGAGTTTGTTGTGATGGCGGCGGATACTGAGCCGCTCGAAATCCTTCTTCATCTTCCACTCCTTGCTGAAGATAAGGTTGGTTTTTCTATAATCTTTTGTTTAAGTACATGTGCTTTGCTTTTGTTATTGCAAATGTATGTTATTAGGTTTTGTTATCATTATGTTGCATGGAGAAAAAGTAGAATGGTTAATGGTGGAAATTTCAAAATTTTGGTGATTTTAAGACGTTCTGTAGAAAAAGTCGAAATACAGAATGTAATTTTTCAAATTTCGAAAATGATGAAGTTTTAATTGATATTGAGGTTAAAGGCTTGCTAAATAGTGGCTCAGTCATTACTCTGATGGATTACTCAAAAGAAGGGAAAGCTTGAACAAGATTTTGCACTTGCTATTATAGTGTAACGGATGAAGTTGAGAGGCGTTGCATCTCTCCTTTTTTGGTTGTGCAATCAGATTTATGATTCATACTTCATTTTGCATATGTTAGCTTGTTATGAAACAGTATGTTCAGAAGGTGAGTGTTGCCAGAACTTGGAATTGAAGATGGATGAGGAGAAAGACAAGAAGGGAAAAAATTAAAATCTAAAGATTTTGATAAGATGATTTAGGCCATGTTTGATAGACAATATCAACATCGCAGCCTGATTCAAGTTGAGGGTGTTGCGAGTGTTGGGTAAAGACCAAAGGCTGAAAGAACCACAAGAACTAAACTACATGGTGGTCTGCTGGGGATAAAAACTTGTGGAACTTGGGACTAAATTTTTCTCATCTTATTTTCGTGCAGTCAACCAAGGGGTGCATGATCTTGTTTTTGTTGTTTGGTAAAACTCTCTCTCTATCTCTCTTGGACACACACACAGTCTGCAATCAAACCAATAAATTGTGGCGTTTGGTCCAACATTATAATTAGACAGTTGTGGTGAAGAGTAATAACATAAAGCAGAATTTGTTTCAAATGACTGCTTTCTCATTTTTAATTTTGATGCACTTGCAATTCCAAATCTGCAAAGTGTTATAGACTAGTCTGAATGCAATAGTTAATCTTGTTTATTTTTTAAGCTTGTTGATGTTTGTTCTATCAGTTAGTCAGTTACTTTTTGCTTTGTATTCTTCTTTCTCTTTTTGCTTCTTCAGTTCATCATCCATAATTCTCTTTCTTTTAGGACCATTTTACATTTTTTTTGCTTGAAAATTGCACTACTAACAAAATTGTTTTCCATACTAGCTTGGCATTGGTTTCACCAACTCTTATGTTCAATTTTGTCCTGTAGAGGCACAGAGCAATATTTTTTGTTATACTACTAGTAATAACCCGTGTCTGAAGGCACAGTGCAATATAATTGAACCACCCAAAGAATCGAGCCCACTATTTCAAATTGCGACAATCACTTTTTAAAAAAAAAAAAATGCACAAAACCTGTGCTTGAACATATTTGATCAAATCTAACTCGTAATTCTAAATGCACGCGTTTAATTAACATCCATATCAACTTCCATATAAAAATTGTTACAACAAAAGTCCAAAATCCAAACAAAACCGAAAGAAATAAAAATGATTGGTGCAATTGATCTTATAACTGTGCCTAAAAACGCTCAGTACCCAAAAACAAAATAACAATTACCAACGAAAATTCATTGGAGAAACAATTAAACTCTCAATATAATTAAACTCTCATTGGACAAAATTAAATTCTCAAAAAAAAAAATTGGCTAGAATTTTCTCTCCAAATGGGACACCAAAAAATTTTCAACCTGTATATACAATTTATTTTCATACCTAAAAAGATTATTAAAGGTCTCACTATCATGCCACAGTTCTGCCTAATACAATCATTTATCAACTAATGCAACTACGCAAATGAATCTTATAACAACATATAAATTCCATAACAAAAATATTCACGTTTCATGCACCCAAGAATATTCAATGTTTAAATGTTCTATGCAAGTAACAATCAACAATTAACAAAATAAAGCGGATGAAAGCAGTACTTATAAATCTACCAGCCTAATCTCTTAGCTACCATATGTGAATAAACTTTGAACATGAACTACATAAACGCTAGGAGCAAACATAAACTGGTTCAAACAAATTCACAGTGATCACCAAAGGTATAAGCAAATCTTAGGTAGAACAAAAAGAGAAAGCGAGTTCATCTCAACAGTTTATACACTGTTTTTAAACACCTTACACAACTATTAAAGACTCAAATACCTTATACACTATTGTTGGGCTTTTAAACTCACACAAAAAAATAAATAATCACTTTGTTTTAAGTGTAGAAGAACACCTATGACAAATTACCGTGCTTCTTGATGTTACTGCCTTTCTTAATCTATGCCCGAGACAACAGCTTGATGGTGCAATTTAGATGCATCCATAGTTGAAATCTCTATCAAAGAATCCTACAATGGAAGAAAAATTCGAAGAGATGTCAAATAATGGGATAAAAGATGAGATGCAAGGAATTATTGGGATGACTTCCAAACTGAGAACTTGGAATTGTGATGCAGGTTCCAAAAGAATCACATGATTTATGTTTGGGTCCAATACTTGCATGCATAAAAAAATAAATAAAAATATTAACCCACAATAGGAGCACAAAAGCTTGAATATCAACTGTACACCACATCTAACATAGAAAAAATAACAGTTCTCTTCACACACATCAACCAATAAATGATCAAACTAAAGCATGCGCGTATAGACAACCTTGCTCACATAAGAACTTCTATAAACCTTCAATACAAATACACGTGTCTTCGGAAAAAAACTATGACAACTCTATCCCTATGATGAAGTTAAATCCATGAATCAAGTGGACTTACATTTATTGTGAAACATATTAGAAGTTATTGTATTGTCAGACATTTTTTATAGAAGGCATTGTGTAAGACAAAAGAATTCGGTTAGGCATCAAGACCTATAAAGGCGACCCAACAATCATTAGAAAAATTTTAATTATTGCAACATATATAACTTGATTTTTACATTTTTGGTAATGATAAAGAATAAAAAAATTGATTTAGAAAACAAAGAAATAGTATCTACCTTAACAATACGCAACTAACTTTATTACCATATTTTTTTTTTCAAAAAATTGCATCTTTTCACACATACACAGTAAACAATAAATCTAAAGATTTCAATCTAAAGTGGGTAAAACAACTGCCCCCATAGAATTGAAGGTTTACAACATTCATCCAATACTTTATGCAACAATCTGTTGAAAGAAAAATAGAAAATGCCAAATAGTGGTTACTCCATAAAAATGATCACAAAAGAAAATGGGCTAATTTAGTTCAAAAAAGATAAATAAACTTAGCTTCATAAAGGATCCACCATAGGGAAGCTTATGCTGAATAGAAATAATGCACAAAGGAGTACTTTTGCTTAATCTTTGATCAAACATGCAACAGCAACTAAAAAATAAGAATAAAATTGCTAAAAAAAACTTGATGATATGTAAAGCTTTTTGAGATAAAGTGATAAAGTTTCTTAAACCAATGAATAATTGTGAGTGAACAATCCAAGCTCAAGAGCCTAGCCTGAAACAATCCATGCTCAAGAGCCTTGGAATAATTCTTTTATCTTAAAGCTCATAGAGCTTATGCCTGCATTGCTCTTTTGGCTGACCTCAGACCCTTCGAGCTTCAAGCGCTCACCAAAGGCACTGAGTTTCTCCTTCAAATTGTCACTCATCTTTTAGAGCCCTAGCTCTAAAGGCTCCCACAAATCTACAAATTTCTTCAAATCTTCAAGATCCTTCTCACTAACTTCCATGAAAAAAAAAACAATAAACACGCAAAACTTAAAAGAATCGAGAGACATGACACCCAAATCAAATCAAATCAAAATCAAACCAAAAATAAAATTTAGCTCTTAGTCACTATGAATAACCAAAAATGGAAGAGATCGGATTCCAAACCACAAAAAATAAAATTGCGTAGAAGCAAGCACATTGAATTGTCTATTAATGGTGAATAAAGAATACTAAACAATTCTCTAAAAAAAAAAAAAAACTCTATTGAGTGGGTGTGTGTGTTTTGTGAAATCACTCCAACTCTTTGTAAGTCGACCAATCGTTTCCTACAGTAGAGCAACAAAAACAAACAATAAAACCATCAATCCCAATTTCAAAAGGGGAATATATGTGAACCATAGTAACAATTGCACCTTGACGGAGGCTGTGACGTGAGTCAGGGTGGAATGACGAATTCGAAGTTAAAGCCAAGGAGCTACAGAGGGGTTGGGAATGGGGCAAAGGAAAGTTGTTCGTTTTAGAGGGTGTAGTCTTGAGGTGAGAGAGAAGGAGGTGTTTACGGAAGAAAAAATTAAAAGATGGGTGAAGGATGAGATGGAGAGGTGAAGGAGGACGGGATGGAGAGGTCTCATTGTCCTGGGGTGTACAGAGAGAAAGGGCATGGGGGTAGGGGTTTCGCATTGAGAGGGAGGGGGCTGACATTTGCGTGTGTCAGGCGCTGTGGGGTGTATAGAGTAACGTTAAGAGGGAAGTGATGGGTGTGAAAAGATGGTTTTGACGGGGAAAATGTGTGTAGGATAAAAATTCAAATGCTCTTCTGTTTTATTATATAGATGTTGACATTAATCATGTTGGATTCCTAATCACTATTATACTCATTATGCAAACACCTTGTTTCTTGACAATTAGGTTTTGTTTGTATAAAAGCATTGCTGAACTAATACAGCACCTATAATATCTGTTTATGGGTTATATCATAATGTGGCACTGTAAAATGTACAAGGGACTAATGTATGCATCCCTGGTTTAATTGAATTTTGCCAAGATACTCTGTCCTTGGATTTTTTTATTTTTATTTTGGAAAAAAAGGCGAAGCATCCAACTGTTTTTAATGAGACGTTCTGCATAATGCCTGCATATTGGGGAAGAAAATTGAAAAACTTATTTAATTTAGCAGTTTCAATGTGTCTTCAATGGGAGGTTAGACATATCCAACTTCTAGGCACATATCTGCGGCAGACATGGAAATTTGTTTTTATTATTTGTAGCATAGGTGCTAGGAGACTTAATTATGAAGAATATTGTTCAATTGTCAAAAACAGCTAATCTTTTACAATTTTTTTGTACAGAATGTACCCTATGTTTTTGTTCCTTCAAAGCAAGCTCTTGGTCGAGCATGTGGTGTCACAAGACCTGTGATCTCCTGTTCTGTGACAAGCAACGAGGGAAGCCAGTTGAAATCTCAAATACAGCAACTCAAGGTAACTTTGTATCGATTTTATTTAGTCTGCAGCTCGTCCTTTATTTTCTTTTATGGTCTTACTTTGATTCCAAAACAAAATCTTGAAAAATGCAGGATGCCATTGAGAAGCTCTTGATCTGAAGTGTAAAGCCTTTTCAGCATGACGAGCCTCTGGATTGTGAAACTGGATTCATTTGAGGCTTTGACTGAACAAGTTGTGTTAGTATGACAATGTCTACCTGCTTTTGTTTTCTCTTTGTTGCACTTATCCTCATCTTGTTCAACATAATTTTGTGTGCTTTTTATATTTGCAAGTATGCGTAATGAAAACTCCTATCACTTTGTTTTGAGGATCTGAAGGTTATTGGGAACAGAGTGAAGAAATCATCTTATAAGTTTGTTGTGTTGTTCAATTGAATTAAGTTCTTTAGTTTGTTTTTCTTATTCTTGGCTTGATTAGATACTCGAGTTGGTCGATATGCCAACATCAGCGAATAGTGTTTAGCTTGCAGCTAAAATCTTTTTGCTTTCCAAAATGAATCGAAATCAAGTCAGGCAAAGGGAGTTGGAAATACAGTTGGGTTCTAAGATTATTTAGAAACTAGTTAATTCTGGCAAAACGTTGTAACCTTCTGACAGCCACTGGTCTCTTGGATCTCACTAATGTCCTGGTTATTAGAGATCTTGCATGACCTGAAAGATGATTTATCCTTTGAAGCCAGACCTTTATAGGGACTGGAATTTTGTATTTGCAGCAAGATTCATTTGACCTTTTACTCAGATGCTTCTATATAAATCACAATATGCCGAAAAATAAGAAACTGCTGTAAAGATGAATAAGTTTGAAAATCAATGTAATCAGGAAGTAGAAGCCATTGTTAGTTTTAAAAGGGACTTGGTTTTATGTTGTCTTGACTCCTAGTTGTGGAAAACATCTATTGTTCCTATATAAAGGGCATACCGCAAACAATTGCTCAACTTTCTAAACAAATGATTTGTGTAGCAACTTGATTAATAATATTATAGCTGCTCATTTCTCATATTTCCAAAACAAATGATATAAAATGTCGGGGTGAAATAGAAGTCATAGATTCCACTCGAGAGATAACTGGTCATAAAGGATGTATGGATTCTCGAGAAGATAGGAGCCGTGGTGGTCCCCCCAGACTGCTCGGATCAATGTTCAAAGTGTTCAAAGTATCGGCTGAGTCGGATACAACTCAGCCAAGTCGTATCCGCCTCAGCAGACATCGATCCAATAACGATACACGATACAACACTATCACGAGTTTATCATGAAATCGATTCGGACTCGGTCTAACTTGGACAAACTCGGATTCAACTCGGTCAAACTCGAATTCAACTCGGTCTAACTTAGTCGATTTACTTTCGAATCAAACTAATACGCACGAAATCGTCCACCGACTTTCAAGCAACAAAGAAAATGCCCAAAAAAATGAGAAATTGAACCCTAAATTAGATCCCTTTTACCATAATAAAAACAAAACAAGGAAATTAGAACAAAAATGAACACAAACCTGAAAAATTGTAGTAAATCTCCTTAATCAAAGACTCTTTCCCACTATTTGGTCTTACTTTCCTTCTTCTTCGCAATAGCATTTTATAATTTTTATTTTGATAGCGCCTTTATAATCTATTTTCATTATTTTTAATGTGTTGGATAATATATTTTAGGCATATAATGCATGGATTTTGTTATTTATATTTTATATAATTTTTCATAATTTTTTTAATTTTTTTTGAGACTCCTATCTAGTATTTTGAACGTATCAATTGATACTATACCATGACACTGCGACCGATGCATATCAGTACTCTTCGAGTTAATGGCTGATACCGCAACTTTAAACTATGGCTTGGATCCCACGAGTGAATCGAAAGTTGGATATAGATCAGATCTCACCAATTATACTGATATGCATGCATCATCAAGAAGACAACCATCCATACAAAAATAGACTCTGAATCACATGCTGTGATATTTCCAAATCACCAAAACCCAACCATCCAGATACACCACCAGACAAGATGTGCCTTGATTCTGAGATTCTGCGGTGATACTTTTGCCTTAGATACTTAGAGAAGTCTTGCTCTGTGATTTCTCATCTTGATACAGTGTAGTTATTACAGTGTAATTATGCTAATTTTTCTTTTTTATTTTAAATAAATTCATGTCTATAGGTGTTGATAAATTTTTATTGCAAGACCATGTTGATGTTGGATTCTTGCTTGATTCTTTCATCTATTCTTCTGTGGCGTATTTAATTGGAAACTGTGTTCTTAGTGCTGTAATACCCTAATCCATGTAGATTTCCTCATGATTATGCTTAATACCTAGATTTGCTGTTTATCTGATAGAACAATGCTATAAGGACCTTATTTGGAGACTTAATTTTGGAACTTAATGACGAGATTTCGATGCAACTATTAGATTAGTTGTGAGTTCCAATGTTAGATGAAACCCACAACCAATTTAATGGTTGTATTGAATTAAGTCTCTAGATTAGGTACCCAAATTAGGTCCAAATAGTATTTTCCTATCTAATATTGTGAGAAAAGCAACAAGTTATTTGCTTTGAACGGATTGTGCATGTGTTCACAAAATATATTGTGTACGAACATTTTAATAAATTTTAAGAGAGGACTCTATGAAAGCAAGAGAAAATTCTGAAGTTTTTCCTCCTTTCTTTTGGCTCTTAAATGGAGCTTATGGTCGATCCTGTTCATTAAGCAATTAGATGTGGGTCAAGGAATTGTCTCCCAGAAGTCCCCAAATGAAATGCATAACCACCCCCCCCCCCCCCCCCAAAAAAAAAAAAAAAAAAAAAAACAAACACACACACACACACCCCAAAATAAAAAATCCAACCCAAGTCCAAAATGTGGAAGTTTCTATACTGGGTGTCAGAGTATTACTGCATGAGTCTTAGATAAGTTGTCATTCATGTGAAGTGAACCCCATAAACACTACGGAACCCAAATATATTATTTTAGTACCGTACCGTTGATTACTATTTGTTTTGATTTGCAAAAAAGGGGGTGGGGGCTGATTACAATTTGTCACGGTAAAGTTACAATTTTGAAAGGAAAAATAACATTTGCTCAAAGAAAAATTATGATCGATCATATACACTTATGATTAATTACGAACTCTTGGTATCGATCCTAACTTTTTATGATCGATCGTGCCCTTTAAAGTAGTAATTTATATTTCAAAAACATTGTAACTTAACCTTAAAAATTATAATTTTTGGTACTATAGCCTGTCCTTTTTTGTAGGGAAGAATTTATCTACCTTTTCTAACAGATTTAAGACGACAGACGCTCGAATTTCTAAAATGTCTTATAACAGTAGAATTTTGGAGTGGATTGTCCATCCTAAACCCAAATCACCTAATGGGCGAAAAAGGGTGCACAACGGCCCAAGAAACCCTTTAACAACCCGTCTGCTCCGTAATAAAGAATGAGTCATAATCCAAAGGAGGAAACCTAGTAGAGAGTCCAATTCAACATAACCCTGCTTGGTCATAACAAGCTTAACGTTAAGTAGCCCGAAATTAAGTAGCTCGGTACTTCCCAAACTCTAAATTCCCCACTTCACGCCACGTGTCCAGGGGACCAAGAGACAACTTCTGAAACCTCTAATGAATGTGTACTCTTTGGCAAAGGAAATATTTGTGCACATAACCACCCAAGGATCGTAGATATAGCGGCGTCACATGACAGAGGTCACTAAAGGACAAAAAAAAAGAGAACCATAGAATCAACAAAAAAGGAAAAAGAAACCACAAGAAACTCTAAAAGAATTACTCGTATAAATAGAATACTATCACATCACAAGAGAGGACTGACAATTTCTTCAGTGATATACTAGTATTCATAAAACACTGTATAAACATGATTTAAGCCTAACAACCCATTGTATTCTTCTTCAAAAAATATACACACCCCAAGGAGCAAGAAACTCTATACAGAGGACAAAACCTTAGTCTTTCGATTCAGGTGAACCACTTATACATTATTTCTGATTCACTCTCACAGCTTAATCTACTGTCAGTTCATATATTCACACCACCCCCCATCTGGGCCATCAAATCATAGTTCTGGACTTGGATTGAGCATCTCCGAGCACTATCAACCTCCATGCTAGAGGATGGTTTTTTTATTTTGACTTAAATTGCGAGTGTAAAAGAAGATTAAACTACCATGGGATGGCCAGTTCTCATCTTCCTTCTAATTTGAGATTCTATGGGAAGCAGAGCCTTCATCTTCAATTTACTATTCTAATGATTACAGTACAATTTTACAAATAAACATGGTTGAGATCCTGTTCCCTTGGTTGAATTCTTTGTTGTATCTCAAATATATTAAAGCTTTACATGTGTAGCTCTGTTGATATAATCTCCCATTCTGCAGACATCCCATAAACACTGCCCCTTTTGTTTATATCCTGAAATCTGACAAAGGAAGTTTCCATCAAACAACATGGTAATGTGATCTTTTAAAACTAATCTCTAGTAGAGACTACGTTGTGGAAGAATCCCTTTTCGGTATTATACCTAAAGTTATTATAAATTAAGAGTGAAACACGATTCAATTTGGTGAGTTAATGACAAAAAAAGACTGATTATGATCAATCCAAATATTTGAGGACTAGTACTGCAACTAAACGTGCCCTTTATGGTACTGAATTTAGTACTGTAGACTTGCCCTTATCCCTATATATTGGACCCAAGTGTACTGTCTAACCTTCATTGCCTCAATCTTCAGGGTGGATTGTGAAATAAGCTTAACTCATAATGGCTCAGTTTCTTCTTCTTTGCCTGCTGATCTTAGCTGATGCCTTTATGATTCTAGCAGCTCAGAGCATTGTTGAACCTAATATGACCTATTTCTCCAACCCACCAATACCTAGCCCATCCAAGAGGGGACAACTAGGAATAGCTGAAGCACCTGCTATTTGAAAACTTGGGAAGCACCCCCACAAAGTGGTCAAGTCCTCAAATGCTCCAAGTTTGAGTCCATCTGAAGCGCCTCAAACTGAAGAGAATATGCACTCTAGATAGGAGGTGAGCTCTTCAGTTCAAAGTATTGAAACTGTCCAGGGGCAGATGATCCAT